AAAAAAGAAAATTGTATGTACAGGTGGAGCCTGTGGCTCAGTGGGTAGGGTGCCAGCCCCATATACCGAGGGTGGCAGGTTCAAAACCAGCCCCGGCCAAACTATAACAAAAAATAGCTGGGCATTGTGACAGGCAGCTGTGATCCCAGCTACTTGGGAGGCTGAAGCAAGGGAATAGCTTAAACCCAGGAGTTGGAGGTTGCTGCGAGCTATGTGATGCCACAGCACTCTATTGAGGGAGATAAAGTAAGACTCTGTCTCTACAAAAAAAAAAAAAAAAAGAAAGAAAGAAAGAAATAAAAGAAAAGAAAATTGAATGTAAAAATTTTTATAATAATAAGAAATGATGGATAAGCATTCCTATTATTAAAAGACTTTGAATTGGGTGACACTTGTGGTTCAAAGGATTAAGGCGCAGGCCCCATATGCCAAAGGTGGCAGGTTCAAACCCAGCCCTGGCCAAAAACTGCAAAAATAAAAGACTTTGAGTTAAAAAAAAAAAAAATAGCAGGTGTTGTAATTTTAATTACATACCCCCCAAAAGATATGTTCTAACTTCTGGTATCTGTGAATTTGTGACCTTATTTGGAAGCAGGGTCTTCACAGATATAATCAGGTATAAAATGAGATCATCTTAGATTTGGGTGGTTAATATTCAGGGACTGGTGTTCTTTTTAAAAAGATGAAAATTTGGGGTGGTACCTGTGGCTCAAAGGAGTAGGACGGCAGCCCCATATAGAGGAGTAGGACGGCAGCCCCATATACCAGGGGTGGCGGGTTCAAACCCAGCCCCCACCAAAAACTGCAAAAATAAATAAATAAATAAATAAATAAAAAGATGGAAATCTGGACACATACAAGCAGAACATCATGTAAAGACAGAGACAGAGATTGAAGTGATGTCTCTACTAGCCAAAGAACTTCAAGTATTCCCAAAAACCACCAGACCTCAAACTCTTGGGCTCAAGCAATCCTCTTGCCTCAGACTCCCGAGCAGCTAAGACTACAGGTGCCCACCAGAACACTTGGCTATTTTTAAGAGACAGGGTCTCACTCTTGTTCAGGCTGGTCTTTAATTTGTGAGCTCAAGCAATCCACCCACCTCAGCCTCTCAGACTGCTAGGATTATAGGCGTGAGCCACTGTGCTGACAGAGTCTTACTTATGAACAATGATTATTACATACTTCTGTAATATAATAAAGCTCCTGGAGATTCAAGGGTGTAATCTTTAATCCAAATTGTCCCCAGTCTGTTATATTTGAACATGATAAGATCATTACTTGACATATATACTGCTTTCTATGTCTTTTTCATTTCATCCTTTTTGGCTAAAATTATTTCTTTCTGGACTACCTGTCTACTTCTAGCATTCTCCCTACACTAAAGTAATTGTTATCTACTAACAGCCAAGCTTATTAAATCAAAACCCTGAAGTGCCAGATGAAGACCTGAAGATGGCTCCCCTTCCTAAGAATTAAAGTGCATGGGCATGGAGGTAGGGACCCTCTAAGAATTTTTTAACTTACTTCTTGTCTTAAAACTATGCAATTGCAATGATTTAAACTCCAAACATTTGAAGCTAAAGTAAATTAGTAATTATCAAAGTACTTAGTACTAAATAATCAATCTTCAGGACTAAAATACACTACTATATATTATAAAATATTGTAATCAAGTATTATAATCATTACTAGTAATATTTAAATAACTCACCTGATTTCTTTTAGTCCTTCTCTCTGGATAACTTGAAGAATTTCTTTATGACTCATGGGTGTATTGGGGTATTTTTCTAAGACCTGAGAAACAAGTATATAATAATAAATTATTTCATCTTATTTTAAGTTATTATAATTATATATGTAATTGTATTTCTTCTTATAATTGCATCTTAATAATTATATCCAGAACATATACATCCAGAGACTTTTCATCCCTCATGTTGTGGGATACCAAGTAGAAAATTAACAGAATATAAACTGGATCTTAGTTGAGCATAGCGGTACACACCTATAATTCTACCTAGGCAACAGAGTGAGACCCTGTCTCTTAAAAATAAATAAAATAAATTAAAAATCAGGTGTTCTTTTCCTCAGTTACAAACAATAAGTCCAATGCTGAAGCAGAAACTGATCAAAAAAGCTAAGATTAATGGTTCAATTAATGAATATGCCACTGTTTACTTGCTGCCTCCATCCCCACATCCCATTCCTTCTTGTGACCTAATTACCTTAAGATGATTAATTTTTACATCCCCAGTAAAGTCTAGTACTACATGGGTGCACAATCAATTCTTAACCAAAACAAATAAACAATACAGTTCTGATCAAATTACAATGCTATGGTCTGGTTCTGATAAAGACAGTAAGAAAAGTCCATCCTGTGTCTCCCACTAAATGCAACTAAAGCCAGGGACAGAATGAAAGAAACAGCTAATTAAGGACTCCGAAAATGGTAGTAGATCGCTTAAGGAGAAAACCACAAGTACCATAAGCCCAATAGTGAGTTTCCTGGTTTTGTTTCCTCTGGTACCTCCCAGTCTTGACTCAAAGGCAGCCCAAAAACTCAGAACTGCACACTAAGTACAGACAGAAAGTGTTCTAAGAGAAAAGTCTTCTCATTTTTAGTCTGAGGCACAGTAAAAGGGGGCCTTGCTACGCGTCAGATGGGGGGGGGGTCCTTTAGGGGTTTTTTCCCCTTTCTTTCTCTCTGCCCTTGTCCTGGGCAATCCCACGGCAGACATTTGTGGCGATACCAGCGGTGGCTACACAGGGTCCTAAAATTCCAAGAAAGAGGAACTCTGCTGGTCCTGCAAATGTGAGGGAAACCCCCAAGATTTATATTCTTTCTCTACTATGCCACTACTTAGCACAGCAGATTAAAGTGTGTGGCAAAACAGAAATGAAATCCTAAGTTTTCTAGACAGAGAACAAGGAAGACAGGTGTCTAGGAGCCAAAACACAACAGGGAACTTGCATAAAGAAAATAGATTAAGAAAGTGATACCATGAAGTTCTACAAATACTTCCAGGGTCACTCTGGTACTTACTATACATGTACATATATAGACCTGACCTTAAACAACATGCTATCAGGCATATCAATGCCTAGTTCCCAAATACTAAGTGGCATTCAAGTGGAACAGATCCAAATAACACTACAAATGCTTTGAAACCTGGACACTGGAATTTTAGTGCAAGGAAGGCAGGTAGACAGTTGTAACTTGAACCTAACAAGGTGAAATATTTCCTTAAAAAATTCCCTCACCCTTCTTCCCAAAACATTATTTTTCACAGGACTTATTATATAAGACAAGTATCATAACATAGCATGAAAATGTCTAACATACAATCCAAACTCACTTGACATATAAAGAACTATGAAAATCTCAGTAACTCACAACAGGAAGTACAAGCTACATACAACAAACTCAAGATGACTGTGATATTGCACTGTGATATTGGAAATACCAAATAAAAGCAAGTATTATATGTTGTATAGTTTAAGAAGTCAGAGTGAATATTCTTGAAACAAGAAAGAGTCTCAGCAGACTGTTATGTACTTTGTGTTTTGTTTCATATATTTACATTTATTTAAAATTTAGTTCAAATTTTAGAACTAAAACATTCAATAATCAGAATTAAAAACTGAAATTTCCTGGAAAGGTTCAACATAAGAATCTCTGGAAATAACAGGAAAAAGTGAGTGAACTTGAAGATAGAGAAATAAAACTATCCAATCTAACACATACAGAGAGAAAAAAAGAAAAAAATAAAGAGCCAATGGATCAATATCAAAAGCTCTAACATTCATATCATCAGAGTCACAAAAGGAGAGAAAAAAAGCAGAAAATTCCCCAACTTGGTGAAAAATAAACACAATTTCAAAAAGATCAATGTCTCTCACACAAGATAAACTGAAAGAAATCCACACCCAATCACAATCAAATTACTGGAAACAGCAAGAGAAAAACAATGCATTCCAATTAAGAGAATGGCTATGGATTTCTCATAAGAAACTATGGAGGGCACAAGCAGTGGAATAACATTTTAAAGTGAAGCAAGATAAGAACTGTCCAACTAAAAAATTCTATATCTAGCAAAAATATACTTCAGGAAAGAAGAAGAAATCAGGACATTCTCAAATGAATTACTATCAATAGACTTGCTTTAAAATGACATTTTTAAAGTGAAAACAATATTTTCAATCTAAATTTTAGGCAGGAACTTTCTTATACCTAAATCTATTTCCGTTCTTACTATTTAAAAAATAAAGACAATCTGGCTATTAAAAAATGCCAACGAAAGTTAAAATTAAAATAATTCTCAAGAATCTATACTAGTATATTAGTATAGTAAGTGATAATAACAGATAAAAGACTGGTGTAATAGAAATCATTAATGTCAAATATCCTATATCACCCATGTAAATATCACAATTGATATAAGCAGCTACCATTTATGAAGATATATGCAAAGGTTTTCTTTACATTCTCTTGCTTAAATGTCTCAGTAACCTCAAAAAGAAAATTACTATTAACCTCATTTTAAAAGTGAAATAAGTAAATCTCAGTAATATAACATACTACAGCAATATAAATAGTAGCCATAATTCAAATCCAAGTCTGCAGCACTACTGCACACTGTTTCCATCTAATTGCTAAGTAAAGCTCAGTCATATAACATAACACAGCAACATAAATGGTAGCCACAATTCAAATCCAAGTCTGCACCACTACTGGATACTGTGTTTCCATCTATTTGCTCAATCATAAAAATACAACATATTTGTTCATCACCTCCTTTCATGTCTCTATTACATTTGACATTATTACATTTTCCCTTCTTAGACATCACCCTTCCAGACTTTTCTTTCTTTTTTTAAATAAATATTTCTTCATAGTGTTCTCTGTGAATGTCTTTCCCTCTCTCGCTTTCCCTTTTTTTTTGGGAGATACGGTCTTCCTCTGTGACTAAGCTGCAGTGGAGTGGCATGATCACATCTCACTACAGCCTCCAACTACTGGGTTCAAGCAATCCTCTTGCCTCAATCCCAAACAAATTGTTGGGATTACAGGAGCAAACTACCAAGGTCAGCTGACAATGTCTTTTTCTAAATCCACCCGGGAGGCTGAGTCAAAAGGATTGCTTAAGCCCAAGTTGGAAGTTGCTGTGAGCCATCGCTGCCAGAGCACTCTACCCAGGGCAACAAAGTTGAGACTGCCTTTAAAAAAAAAAAGGCAGCTCGGCGCCTATGGCTCAAGTGGCTAAGGCACCAGCCACATACACCTAAGGTGGAGGGTTTGAATCCAGCTGCAACCAAAAAATAGCCAGGCGTTGTGGCGAGCGTCTGTGGTCCCAGCTACTTGGGAGGTTGAGGCAGGAGACTCGCTTGAGCCTGGAGACTCGCTTGAGCCCAGGAGTTGGAGGTTGCTGTGAGCTGTGATGCTACAGCACTCTACCCAGGGGGACAGCTTGAGGCTCTGTCTCAAAAAA